AACCTTAAACCCGAAACCCTACCCTTTAGCTTTGTGTGGCAGGTGTCTTGGATGGCCAGTTTGAGGCTTGTGCATTCGGTGCATGCGGAGCTGGGGATGAGACCTAAACATAGGTTTGATAGGGTTTAGGGATTTGGGATTTGGGGTTTGGGGTTTCGGGTTTTGGGGTTTGGGGTTTAGGGGGTCCCCCTAAACCCTCCCAATGGCGCCCAGTGGGCCCCTAACGGTGTCTATATGGGTCCCATAGGGAATAAGGGGGCCTTCATCCCTATATGAACCTTACTTAATACACTCCCTTATTCCCTACTCAGAACCGGTAAGGTTAAGAAGTCAGGGGAGAGGGCTTGGCTGGAAGGTACGGCTTCCTGAGTTTGGGTGTTTGCTGTATGCTAAACCCCAAACCCTAAATACCCTACCTAAATACCCTGCTAAATCCCCTAAATACTGAACCCTGAACCCTAAGCCTCAGGTCCTAAACCCCGTGATTCCGGGAAAGGTTCCATGCCTTGGGGTGAAGGGCCAGGAGTTTGGCTTAGAGTTTGAGGTGGGGGTTAGTCAGGATTTAGGGGGTTGGGGGCAAGGGTTTAGGATGAAGGCGAAGGCTCGGGGTTTAGGTTTTGGGACTGAAGGCTGCCGCTTACAGACGTTAGAATTTCAGGATCAGGATTGGGGGCTGAAAGGTGGTGTTTGAAGTAAAATGAACGCGTCCAGAGTTTTGATCTGATTGAGCTTCACGGCTTTACGAGAGCACGCCAAGTTAGGGGATGGGCTGCAGCGCCACAAAGCATTATCGCGATCGAAAGTGCTCTGGCTGTTCGTTTGATTCCTGTATGGTTGTCATGCTGTCATTTGGTCAAGACAGATGGAAGGCCTTTGTCGCGAACCCCAGTCTACCTAAGCTAAATGTGAAGATGGCTGGTCTTGGTCCTTTTAGCATTCCGCGCCCGCTGTTACATCTTACAAAACGAAGGTTGCCTTTGTCTTTTTCGTGAACGCAGGAAACATGTGCAAAGAAAAGCGTGCCTGCCTCCAAGCTTGCAGACTTTCTTGCGGGAGCGCGTAGCGCACAAAGAGAGCGGCTAGCAGGTAGGAACTGCAAATTCGCACATGGAACGCTTAAACATCAGCGTGGGCGCGCCACCATTGCACAGCAGTGGCAATGCAGGCGAGCCAAGCACTGGCCCATATCAAGCATTGACATGGATCAAGGTGAAACCACGGATAGCAAGTGGAGAGGTATCAACATGATGATTTCATGGGGCTTCCTAGGCAAACATGACTTTTTGATTTTTGACCATTCTGCACAGAGGGCGGGTCTTTCTGAGCGGAGCCGACACTTTAGGCCCATGATCTTTCAGTTGAATTAAAGGCATGTGCTAGACTACAGTATTTGTGCCCGTGTCAGGGGCCGTTCAGGTTTCGAGGATTATACATATATATATATATATATGTGTGAATTGGCCCGTTCAGTTCTTGTTTGTGAAATCACGATTTGCTAGAACCGGCCCTGATGCAGAAGGCTTCGGTTTGCCACTGTAATTAACCACATGGCTGTCAATGTCAACTTGAGCATGGTATGTTTTTGCGTTGTGTTGCTGTGCGATTCATTTAGCCAAGCGATTAGTAAAACCGTCTCGCTCAACAGAGGTTTCTCAGCAAGCCGCGATGTGTCCATGTTGGTCGGCCAGCCCTGACAAGCTTGGAATTGAATTACATGTTGCCAACATGCAAACCAGCCGGATTCGACCCTCTCCACTGATGCCTAGCTGAGCCCGTGCTTGAAAAATCCAAGCCCTTCGCCACTACACATGAAAAGCCATGTCGCGTAAAGTCCCGATTAAATCCAGGATCACTAGATTTCGGTCGCTATGTTGCGTCGGCTTTCAAGCGCGAAGCTTAAATCAGATGAGCAAGCCCAACCCTAAACTTTAAGCCGCATCTTGTAAAATGGCCAAGCCTAAAGCCCTGCAACCTAAATCCCCTGAACCCCAAACTACCTTGTTATCCCAAGGGAACTTTTGCAAAGTCCACTCAGTTGAACATTAGAGGCCAGCTTCGTGCGCAAATGGGTGCGCCCTTTGTGGACTCAGCTTGCGCAGCTGTGCTTGATGGTTCCCAAAGGCTGCACACGTTGTGGACTAGACATGCTAAGAGAAGTTTGAGGGCTCGTATACCATGAGCCGGATTTGCAGGGATTCTGTAAAGTATCTGGGGTTTAGGTGCGTTGGTTTGCGGAGTTTTTTTTTCGTCAGTTGGGTGTATTCAAGATTTGAAGTGGCTCCAAGGCGTGGGGTCCAAGGTTTAAGGCAAACATTGTTCAGGTCGTTGCATTGGGGACGTTTTCTTTAATTCCGACCAAACATGTCACATGTTGCTTTCAACAGAGGCTCAAGGACGAGAGAGGAAGATTTGCATGGTTGGAATGACGTCTTCTAGACTTCACTGGAAGTTATACCAGGGTTTTGGGAAACACTTGAGCTCGGGCGACGTCAAATGTTTGGTTGATGGCAGTTTGCATTGTGCTTGGGCCCTTCATAGAAGTGAACAGCCGTCATACGAATTCGTAGGGTTTGGTGGGGTGTGAGTTCTGTTTCAAAGCCCGCGTAAACTGACCAATTAAAAGTGGCCATACGCTATCCGCAAATGCACAGACTTGCACGTACAACTGTGAATGCCAATGTAACCGGAGCTCATTTCGAATTATTTTACCAGGTGAGGACCTGGGAAGAAGTCTTTAAGGAAGCGTTGGATTTTCAAAAGCCTCAGCGAATCACTGTTCCAGTCAGTGCCAGAATGGTTATATTGGTTCTAACAGCGCCCATTTGATACTGACCTGAGCTTTTGTGCCTATCATTTTGTCCATTGCCATCGTTCTGGTTTAACTCTCTACTTTCCCCCACACTAACATGAAACTGTGTAGGTGAACTTCGTAGTGCGCCTCTGTAGGTTTCATGTTTGTGTTGGGAGAGGATAAGTGTTACAAACAAAAATAAATGTGAAGGGAGGCTTTGCGAACCTTACCCCTAAACCCGCTAAAGCTTGATGCTTAAGCTCATATTTTATGGTAACTTTCATATTCTTTCCTCAAAACGATAGTATCCTACAGTAACTGTTATTGCTATATTCCTACATACCTCATACATACCCGTACATCCTTGTAAGCCCCTTCAATTGTACCGCGTGGAACAACTGCAAGACCCCTTCCTAAACCTCCCCAAAGCCTTGCAATGTAATGGGTTTCCCAAAATTATGGGTACCTTTTTGGGGGTCCCCATAATAAGGATCATAGTATATTGGGGTCTATATTGGGGTCCCCCTATTTTGGGAAACTACCATGTAATGGGTTTGGGATGCATGGAGTTTCTGGCTTGAGGCTTAGGGGCTAGGATTTGGGGCTAGTGGGTCATTGTTGGATCTAGTTTCCTTTTGTAAATCCTGATAAGGACATGGAAGTAGAGGGTCGTCAGAAATCTCGCAAGGTTTCGAGTCAAACCCTGAGCACTACGCCCTAAACGCCGTAGACCCTAAATCCTTATCACGTGAACTATAGTCTAAACTCATAGTATACCCCTTAATAACCCCTACAATACTCCCCTATATAATCCCCTTCAAAAGGATGTTAGGCTATAGCTCACTTGAATTCTCGCTCAAAGCGTCATCGCCAGGTATAACCCCCTTCCTATAGTTGCTTGAAAGGGGTTTAGAGATAACTTATATGAGAGTTATGTAGGGGTTGTGTAGGGTTTGGAGTTAAGCGTAGCAGCGCATTAGCTGGAGAATCAAATCGAGAATGGAACATGACATGGAAGCTAGCCTTATATGAGGTTATATAAGGGTTATCATGATTTATGAACCTCCGATCTTACCTGTATGGGTAGCTACCCCACTTAGACGAATCCTCGTAGAACCCCTGTATACCCCTCATATTCTCAACCCTAAAACAAATCTGGAGACACATGCCAAAGACTCCCCGAATCCTGCATTCTAATCTCAGCCTTCTGAGGAGTCTCTGGGATGTTGGTGTTTAGGTTTTGAGGAAGTAGGGTTTGAGTCTAACATCCGTCATACCCTGCAATCTCTATCACTTTAAACCCTAACCCCTAGATTGTTACCTGTGTCTTGTCATATTCCCCTAAACCCTAAACCCTAAACTGCATCCCCAAGATGGAAGCGCGATTCACTGAGTGCAGGTCGCTGGCGGCTGGAAGACCCCCTTTTGCAGAGGTGGGGTTGAAGGGGGGGTTTCCAAAAAGAATTAGGGTTTAGGGTTTAGGGTGGGAGGACCTTTTTGGGGGTCTCCAAAATGAGAATCATAGCATCTTGGGGTCTATATTGGGGTCCCCTTATTTAGGGAAACTACCAAGTGTGTCTGGCTTTAAGGTTTAGGGTTCGGGGGTTCAAGAGTTTAGGGCTTGAGGGTTGAGAGCTGTGGGTTTTAGGGTTTTAGGTTTGGGGGTTTCAGACTTTAGGGCTTTAGGGTTGAAAGCATCGAAGTTGAGGGTTTTGAGTTTAGGGGTTTGGTGAAGGGTAGGAAGACAATAAGGAAATGCGGGCTATGATTTAGTACGTTTCTGGTGCGGTCCTTCGGTGTATTTTGGTCCAACCTTAAACCCTAAGCCCTCAGGGTTTAGGGCTCAGGGTATAGAGTTCAGCATGAGGGGCTTGAGGTGTACGGTCTGGGGTTTTCAGTCTCCATGGGGTCTGACAGGAGCCATCGGACAATAGGGTTCTACCGGACCCATCTATGCCTAAGGACGCAACATGAGTAAGCCCTGTGAGGCGTCTTGCCGTACCACTGAAACAAGCCCCAAACCCAGCAGCCAATTTAGCTCAAACACGAATCTTTGCCCCGGCTGACTAAAAGCCTGACATCCTAGGTGAAGTCGCGCGTCTCAATTGAACGGTGGTTGATGCTCAGGGACAGGGCTTCTGGTGAAGCGTATCAGTTGGCTCCCAACTGCTGATATCCAGTGGTACTCACTTCCATAGTTGAGCATGGCGGGCCTGAAAAAGCTCATGCCCAAACACCAATAGACCCTACCCCAAAGACCCTACAACTATCCCCATCAACCCCCATTGTACCCAACTGTAGCTTATTCCACGTCCGCCTACAGCAAGTATTCATCCCTGCAAAGTCTCCCGGTCCCCAAAGACAACCAGCGCTTAACTGGGTTGCTGTTAAGGAACTTAAATTCAGTTACCATAATGGGTATTATATATATATACATAGAGTAAATCATGGGTGTAAGCAAGCAACCCAGTCAAGCTGTGCGAGGCAGACCAGCTTAGGTCCTGGGCCCACCAACCGAGCCCTTAGCCGCTTCACGAAGGCCTGGCGGTTTAGGGTTTTGGGTTTGGCTAGAATGGATTGTATTGATTCTTTGTATGTGTTCTCTGTGTTTATGTGTTGTAGTGTGTTGTTCTTCCTGTATCCTCTGTCTGTTTTTTCTGTATGACTTGCATTCTTTGTATTTCCCTGCCCGTTCTCACATCGCCAGGAATCCGTGAGCATTTTGCGGACGTAGAGCTGGAATGCTCAAAGCTCTTTAACCTTATACAGGGTGGGCGCATGTATACGTGTGCATATATATATATATTCATATGCAAATATTATGTGTGTATTTGCACATATACATGTACACGTCAAGCCGTGTTCAATCAGCCTTTGATTTTCTGCAATAGCTTTTGCATGTCGACACATATAGCTCCAGGTGGAACATATCCTTCTGCTGAACCAAACAAGTCATAGTGACTGAGAGTACTACTCAACCACAGTCCCCAACCACAGTCCCCAGCCAGCTCAAGACTGCCCAGCTATTCTATGAAAAGCGCTTAGACCACTGAAGCCCGCAACTCTAAGACCTGAACCCGCCCTTGTGACAGGTCATGGGGGCGGAATCGACATCTGCAGCCAGTGGCCTAGTCGTTGTCGTTTAGGGTTAAGGGCTAGGGGTTCAGGTGAAGCATGCAGTAGAATGTTCAGGTTTTAGGGCCTAGAGCTTAAGGCATATAGGGTTTACTGTAGGTTCAGAGCTTCGAGTTTAAGATGTAGGCGCTGGCTGACAAGGGTTTAGGGTGCTGCTGTTCTGGGACACTGGGTCGGATCCCAAGACGAAGAACATCAGCACTGTTTTGTAAGGAGTGTTTCTCATGAAGTATGGCCCCAGGAGGTTTGCCGTCCAAAGCATCGTGTACGTGTGCTTCGATATGGGTAGTTTTATTGGTATAGTCCCGCTTAAGTAGAAAGAACATGGCCTTGGGTATATTATAACAAGAATATGGCCTTGGGTATATTATATCAAGATCCTCATATATCCCACATTCTATCTACTTAAGGGGGACTATGAGTGGTAGGATACACGTAGGTCAGATACGATCATACTTGGTAGATTAGAATCCAGGTTCGGTCACTTGGAAAGGGTTTAGGGCTTAGGGTTTAGGGCTTAGGGCTTCGGGCTGGGCTTAGAGTTTGGGGCTTAGGGCTTAGGCTTAGGGCTGAGGGTTTAGGGCTCATGGTTTGGGGCTTAATAGGGTTAAGGGCTTAGGATTTAGGGCTTCGGGTTGGGTTTTAGAGTGTGGGGCTTAGATCTTAGGTTTTACAGCTTGGGATGTATAGGAAGTATACTCCACATAGAATTAGCCACACACCTCCAAGTAAAATGCCATTGATGACGCACTGTACATGGATGACCCCTTTACTTACTGGCCCTTAGTTGGGAATGAGGGAATATCCCTAAATACTGCTAAGAACCAGAACCTGTAAAGTTCCATACTGTGAAAGCCTGAATATTTTCCAGCATTGTTCCCTTGTAGCTCTAGTTCTTTCCGTACATTCTACTGTTGGGAGTCAAAATTCCGAGTCTTTCTTTAGGGCGAGCTGTAGGGGGGTTTAGCAAGAGCCGTGTTGCGTTTTGTCCTAGGTCCTGTACTCCAGACCTTTACCCTACAAGTCCTGACCCCAAAGCTCAAAACTTCCAAGCCACCCCCAATTCCACAACCACAAGCTTCTCAACCCTTAAGTCTCCAAACCCTGCAAAACCAAAGCTGCAAGCGCGCAAGCCTCCACTGGCCTAAGCCCTAAACCGCGTTCTGGGCTAAAGACCGAGGCCCAGCTCGCTGCGCGAAGGGCCTTCCCGGAGGGAACTCCGTCTCAGGAGCTTTCCATGGAACTTGAGGCTTAGGATTTGGAGCGCTCGCGTGAGGGAGTCAGGGCGCAGGGTACAAGCGCCGGGTGTAGACGGTTTGGGGTAGGGTACAATAGGATCCCTAAACCCATTATATCCCCATATAATATCCAAATAATATCCCTACATAACCCCTATATCCCCCTTTAAAGGGGTTTGGGTTAGGAGAGGGCGAATTGACAGGAAAACGTTGGAGGTAAAGAGCTGCGAGGCTATTGCTCGCCTTGCGCCCAGGCATGCTATGATCTAATGTAGAGGCCTAGACTTACTTGTTCTTAGTAAATAGATAAGGGCATGGACAATGTTGGTCGTTCTTAGGGCTCTTACATTGAAGCCTGTAAATCCTAAATCTTTTACCAATCTTGCCCATCTCCATCAAACCCAGACCCCTGGTTGTTCTGATTAGGATATTGCTTTGGATAATTCGATCCCCATTTTCCCCATATTCTTTTTATTTAAGGGAGACCATAGAGTCGTGATTGAACTTGCAGATCTATACCCTTGTTCCAACCTTAGTTGCGCACTACTTAGACTTGAAAACGGCAGTCTAGCCCTTACTCCAGCTACGCCCGCGTAGCTGCCCCTGAGTTGAACTTATGGTAGTTGAGTTTTAGGAAGCAGGTTTACCTTGTCCCGAACAAACATCGACCTTCAAATTAAAATGGGCCCTTAGAAAGCTACTGTCCTGTTGGTAGGGGTTTATACGGTGTGGGGTTCCATGTTAATCTGGAGTAATCACCTCCTAGAAGTAAAAACGCGGGGCCCCCTATGAATATTTGATGGACATTCACCCTAAGGAATAATGTTAGCGTATTTGGGGAGGTCATTATAATGTTGGGGCCTGATTTGTTTGGTGGGGAGGACCCTGCCCCAAAACGAAAAGATAAGCCTCTGTAATCAAAAGGCCTCAAAACGAATTGGGGGTCTGGGGGATCCTATGGTTCCTATTAAATCAATAACGGAAGAAGGATCCTTCGGTTCATTGGATTCATAAGGACTTGCTCAGTTTAGTTTTCGAGAGAATAGGAGGGGCAGGGTCCTCGGCTTGTATGTTGAAAGGCCTGGCCTTGAAAACACATTAAATGCAGTTACAGTCCAAAAAGTATAGAAAGTCTATTTAAGATCGATTAAGATCAATCAGAAACCGAACTAAAAACAATTACAACTAGAATGGCTTTACCATCACCCAGCCAAAAGGCCTTTACATTATTAAGTCCCCCCCTATCTCTTATATTATGGAGGATCAGGGGCTCTGCTTGACCACAATGTTGGAATTTCATTGCCTAGCCTATGCAAATAAACGGCTTCATAAGACATCGAATGTTTTGGTGGCATCAGGCTCCAGATTCAATAGCTAATTGACCCTGGCATTTTTCAAAGCCCAGGCCTTTTAAATCTAATATGGCCCTGTGGAATTAGGTTTAGGGTTCAGGGTTTAGTATATTGGGGTTATATTGGGATAATGGAAAAGAAAATGGAAACTACTATCATAGGTTGTATATATAAGGGTTATAATTAGCATTTTTGTTGTCACAGTTACCCCGGCCCAAAAAGCTTTACGTTATGAAGTCGCCCCCAAATCTTGTATACTATGGAGGATCAGGTGCTCTGCTGGAGTACCACCTTTGGAATTTGATTGCCTCGCCTGTTCGAATAAGCGATTTAATGAGAAGCGGGTTGTTTTTGGTGGCATCAAATTCCAGATTCGAGAGGTAAGTGAGCTTGTCCTTTTCATGTGAGGGCCTGGCTGTAAAACCAAAATTATTTTGGCCTCATCAAAACCATCCTTAAATTTTTCCGGCGGAAGGAACTTTACTTTATTTGGGACTCCCGCACTAGTCAGGATTCAACATTAATGGGGGCTGCGCGAGGTTTGTGGTTAAGGGGAGGGGTTCGTGTAGGGCTTACCCTAAACCCTAAACCTTAAACCCTACGTAAACCTTAGACTCTAAGCCTTAAACTCTAAACCCCTAAGCCTTAAACCCTAAACCGTAAACCCTGCACCCTAAACCCTGAATCCTAAGTCTTATTGGATTGCAAGCTATGGCTCAGGGTGTAGCCTTTATGGTATAGTCCTCCTTAAGTAGATAGAATATGGGGTATATGGGGATCTCATTACAATATACCCAAAGCCATATTCTATCTAGTTAAGGGGACCATCGTTTGGTGCTTCCTCCTTGCCAGTTAGCACGGCAGTCGGCCCTGCTATGCTGACTCAGACAAGAATTAGGGTGTATATGGTTTGGGGTTTAGGGTTTGTAGGGTAAAGGGTTTAGGGTTTATGGGGTTTAGGGTTTATACGGTCTAGGGTTTATAGGGTTTAGGGTTTATAGGGTTTATAGGGTTTAGGGTTTATATGGTTTAGGGTTTATATGGTTTAGGGTTTATGGGGTTTAGGGTTTAGGGTTTATAGGGTTTAGGGTTTATAGGGTTTAGGGTTTATAGGGTTTAGGGTTTATGGGGTTTAGGGTTTATAGGCTTTAAGGTTTATAGGGTTTAGGGGTTCAGCTGCAAACGGCGACGGAGTTGGAAGCTGCCAATGCTTGGTTAGCACGGCTCCACTGGCCCTCCCCACCCCCCCGTGTTGGTGATTCAGTATTAAGAGGCTGCCAGCGTTCCATGATTTCGGAACCGTTTGGGACTCCTTATAGTTTATAACCCCCACATATAACCTGACATCCTAAAACTCCTAAACGCATCCCAAACGTAAAAGCCACAATCCTAAACCCCTGAACCCTAGAACACGCCCCCCCCCCCCCCCCCCCCCCCCCCC